ACTCTTTAGTGTTCTAAATCTCAACTGTTTATTTTCTCTTTATTGCGGAAACCCGCCTATGTGGTAAATGTATGTGGTTAACTATCTAACATAGTAAAACCCAATCAAATGCATATCCTGTGGTTCTCAGCCTATGTACTGAGGCCACTGTTAACTCTACGAGTCATGTACTGAGGGTATGTTAACCCTTCGGGTACTCCGTACCCATGTGTGGAATACACCAGGTGTAAACCCGTGTAACCCCGTTACAACAGATCACTAAAAAAACAAGGTTCGAACACACTCGGAGAGATACACGGAGGCTGTTCGCGCAACCCACTTGATTGCCAGTGAAATAGCTGACATTGAAGACGAAGCTGAGTTCGAGAGTATGCTGCAGTTTGTTATGAGTCAATGGAGAAACGTCCGGCAGAAAAAAATTGCGGAGGATATCCCCGAAGGAGACTTGAAAGAGGCTCTGAAAATGGAAGACCGGCATGCTTTTTCTGATGCTGATTTAAAATGGGAGTTTGAAATTAGCAGTAGTGATGATGAAGAATGTTGTACTGGAGACGCTGCGAACTCTGATGCGAACACAGAGAAGAATCCGCCTGCCTCGTCAGTGTCTATACGTCTCAACCCAAAGGCACGGAAGGTTGGGGCCCCCAAAAAAGCCAAAAAGAAGATAGTGGCCGGTGAACGTGCTGACAGGAAGTGGTATGAAGCAGCCAAGGAAGGCCGCAATAAATCTGGGGAAGTGACATTACTTGCGGTGGTGAACTCGTTAGATCACGTCCAGCCTGGGCTTCGTGAGGTGCAGAGGCGTTTATCGGGTATCATCGTGAAGTATGGGGACGCAGAGTCGAAAAAGCCCAAACTGCACATGATGAAAAATCCTGTTTTGATACAGGATCCGTTCTATCTACTTCCTACGAAGTTGTTGGAGGCGTGCATAAAGATACTTCCCGTGTCCAATTCGAAGGAAGATGCCATCACAATTGACACATCACAGACTAGCCAACCAACTGAGGAGAAGACGGGAAAACTTGTTGAAACTATTGTCATCAAGGACGTTCGGAGTTTTTCAAGGAAACAGATAGAAGCGTTCAGGCGCGTGGACAATTTGAAACGAATCGTACAGGCAGGCTTGGAAATGCATAAGTGGCTTCTCGAAGTCGCAGTTCCCTCTCTACCAGCTGCTTACCACGAAATTGGAGCTCAAGTTGCAGACGATGTGTTAATATCGTACCCGCTAAAACGGATCCAAGGCCTCCCGGCTTTTGCGGACTATACATACGCGATGCTCTACAGCGCGAGCCCACCCACATGGATCTCAGACGCAGCATTACATGCCTTGTGCTTGCGGCTCACTTAAGATTACTCAACGGTCCGATTCGCTGGATTTCAATCAGCTGTAGCGAAACAACGACGTTCGCGAAAGACAGATTAATCTCCTGTGGCCGAACCTATCCGGCATCGACTTCTACAGCAAGTGAAGGAGGACGGAGTAGACACGGTGTTGCTCCCGCTCAACTTTGATAACTTCCACTGGTGCTGCGTGGTCGTTAAGGCCAACGCTAAGCGTATCTATTACTACGATCCGCTAAACCACGCTTCCTACAAGAACGCTTGTAACGCAGTGGGAACTCATCTCAAGATCTTAGGCCTGCTAGATTACGACGTGATTGCCATGAATAATCCTATCCAGTTTGATGAACACAGCTGTGGAGTGTTTGTCGGCTGGATGTTCATCTGTCAGGTGCAAACGGGCCGCCACCTGGAAATCAACAGTTGACCAGACGCCGCATTGAATTTTTTTTTTTACTATTTGCTATCTGGATATCTTCTTCCTGTGGGGAGGCCATTTCACATGACACTATGGAAGATGACGACAAGGAGGAGAAAACCCCTGCCCCAAGAAACACCGGAGACGACGACGCAGGGGACGAAGTGCAGCATACGCAGAGAGCTGCACGAATTGAAGACGCAGAGGACGAAGTTTCACCTACGCAGAGAGCTGCAGGAGTTGACGACGCCAAGAGCGAGGTTCTACCGACACAACCTGCGCAGTGAAGAGCCGTATGAAAAGAAAGTAATAGGCTACGTAGGTCTAACTTCAACGAATACATATTTCATCATCAGACACCTACCGTCACCATATTTTCGTGTACTGCAGCAATGTAGCGATCGATGCTTCGAGTTACAAAGTATTAATCCTGGACTAGATCATGGACGGTTACAGGATTAATCCTGTACATTGATGCAAAGATTACGACACATTTTATGAATCGAGGATTCATTCCTGTAAACGTACACTATTAATCCTGGATTACGCACAGCCACACATTCCGTATCTTCGAATCTTCCCGTATCTTCCCAATATGATCATCACTTAAGTACGATTTTCATGTCCAGGATTAATCCTGGCCTCAGTCGTGTACACACCCATGTAAATAATCCTGGCCTTCAACAGCCGCCTTAAATTTTTAATGGGTTTTTTTCGTCTGAATGCCATCCAAAGCCTATATTATTGCGCAATCGAAAGTTCTGCAAGTTCGTTGTCATTGAGTAATAAAATATGGCTGGAAGCCAGTACTGATGATTTGGATGTTTTCAGTGTGATTTTTATTTTTTTTTTTTGGACGAAAATTGTTATGTACTGCAATAATTGTATCAATTTACTTTACAAAAAAACACAAAAGTGTTGGCACAATTCATTTTTATTGGGACGGCACTCTTCATTACCAAATTGACTCATGTAAAACCGCGACGTGCGTTATGAGAGAAGCTTCTGTGTAAGTTTTAGCTCTGTCATCTTCGCTAGATTCATTTCTCGGTCTTGGTCGCCTGGACGCAATACATGTACACGTACATGTACGTTGTATTGTTAAGTTTGGGGTAGCATGGAGTTCGGCTAATATTGTTACTTATAGTGTAAATATTTAAGCCGTTTTACATAGATTGTGTACTAACTGTATTAGTCATGCAAACAGCGATTGCGTGAGAGGAAAGGGTAGTAAACACGACGACGTAAATGTTTGCACACAGGTGGCACGTACAGCGTGTTCGAACGTCGTGGGACCACCAGTTAGCCCGAAACTTTGGCTCACAATTCAAAGAGCGACAGACCTCTCAACACAAACGCCGAAGTTACAAGCCCCGACGGAAGGATGTTCACACAATCCGACTCTATCGGCGTCGACTGGGAAGACCTGGATGCAACGATTCTCGTCGCAGGTAACGAAACTTTTCTTTGTGCCAGTGACAAACACATTGGGTCGGTTGAATATACCAGCAGTCTAACTAGCAGCACCAGCGATAATGCTGAGAGCGGCGAGGGCAAGAGCTGCCGAGCAACCGAGACGCGCAGTAGACGGTCTCGACGGGAACAGAAGCATGAGCTTGAAGAAATGCGACGGCAAGCAAGTGTTTTAAATGGGGAATTATTGCGATTATACCAGATCAAGGAAAACGAAAAGGCTGTGTTCAACGCTGCCCAGACAGCAAACTTCTGGTTGTGGAAATCTGTTGCCATGCAGCAGCGTCATGAACGGGCCCTGGCCGAAGAGGAGCAGCGGGAGTTGACCGTTACTGCACAAATCCAAGCCACCTACATTAGAATTCTGAATGAGATCATTCAGAAACAGGAGGACGCCTCATCTACCCACAGAACCTCGGACGATTATCACAGGAACCAATGCTTTGAGAGCGACATGCTGGAGAGTTTTATTCAAGAGCTGGACTCGTTTGATTATGTAGCGGATTAACCTGTAGCGAAAAAGTTCCAGGCGGTCGACCTCAGGGTTCTGCTGCCCCCTCCACGACAATGGGCTCCTCTGGGGCACCAGCCAACAAGTACCGCGCCTAAGGTGGCTACGGCTACGGCTATGGCTACGGCTACTCCAATTACGGCTACGGCTACCCGGGCTACTCTGGCTACGAGTCTGCCCAAACGAGTGCTGGCTCCGTTGGTGGTGAGAAAGAGACTGCAGCTGTGTCCACGGACGCTGTGGACGCCAAGTCAGAGCAAAACGGGGTCGAAAGCAAAATCGTCGAAGGAGACCAAGTCGGATTCTATTGACAAGACGAAGGGCAAATGAAGCTGAAACAAGGTGTGCTGTGTGGGAAGAGTAGGTGACGGGTAATGGCAATGTAAGTTGCCGTGGCCGTAGTAGAAGGCGAGGGCAAATGAACAAGATGCAACAATGTGAGAACGGATAAAACGATACAAGCGCGCGTGAGGGAGTAATATATATAGTGTAGATAACGAAAGTGGCGACCTGAAGTGAAAAAAAAACACACATCTAACATTTGTTCAGAAAATTGCCTGAAGCCATTTCCATTAGTCGCCAATTTTTCGTCGTCCGTCTGACTCGAAAGCGTAAAACTTACTAATTATCTCTAATCTCTACAAAATAGTATAATTCATCGTTCAATCGCTTAAATAACCGCCCATTGTGCAACGGCCGGGCGTCCCCTCACTTCCTCGCATCTCCATGAAGCTCGCCCGCGCTCTCGGCCTCGTGGCCGCCTCCTTCTCCACGTGCAGCGCCGGCAGCAGCTTCATCGACTTCCGCTCCGTGGACGGAGAGATCAAGGCCGACAACGAGACGTTCCACATCAAGGGCATCAACTGGTTCGGCGGCGAGACTATTGAGCTCGTAGTGCAAGGCTTGTGGCCGTCCGCCACCACTATCGGCGATGCGTTGGACCTTTTCGCTAGCTACGACATCAACGCACTGCGTCTGCCATTGGCTATGGACTCCGTAATGGACGATCCAAAAGTTAAGAGCACTCAGACCGGAGGAAGTCCGTCTTTGGCGGGTAAAACGTACCTTGAGGTACTGGACGTCATTGTGAGGGAAGCTCGTGAACGCAACATCCTCATTATGTTCGACAGCCATCGAATCGAGGCCTCTGAGCCCGATTTCCCCGACATTGCAGTGCCTGACGACATCACTCCGGCACTACAGAAGCTCGCAACGAGGTACTGCGACGACCCGGGGGCGTGGAATGTCTTCGCTATTGACCTTAAGAACGAGCCTAAGGGCAAAGCCACGTGGGGTAAAGGAGATGAAGACACAGACTGGAACTTACAAGCAGCCAAGATTGGCAACGCTGTACTAAAAAAATGTCCGAGACTTTTGATATTCATCGAAGGAGTCCAGACGAATATTAAAGGAGTGAGTATGAAATGGGGACAAGCTGGTGGTTCATTGCAGGGGGCCAAGGACTACCCAGTCAAACTGAGTAATATGGAGAGACTGGTGTACAGTCCTCACTTGATCTCCCCTGGAGTGGACTACAAGGCTCCGTGGTGGAGCGACTCGAGCTTCCCTGATAACATGCCGGATATCTGGGACGAATATTTTGGATTCGTACCTAAAGAGACTGGCCAAGCAGTGGTTGTGGGTTCCTGGGGAGCTCAAATGAAGGATAACAACAAGATATGGGCTAACGCGGTGTCGGCCTACCTTGAGGAGAAGTCGATTGGGTCGTTCTACTGGGCCTTTAACCCCCAGTCAGCCGACACTGGAGGGTTCGTTAAGGACGACTGGGTCACTCCTATTGACGAGCGCGTTGCTCTACTTGAGTTACTGCCTACAACTAGTGTAGAGGATATCGTTGCTATCTTCTCTGAATGCTCAAAAACTTGTGCTGGGAACGGCGGATGTGAAGGTGGCAAGTGTGTCTGCTACACTGGATGGACTGGGCCACAGTGCGAGATCTGCTCGGAAGGAGACACCACAGCGTGTAATGACATGGGTACATGCTTGAGAAATAGCACGTGTGCCTGTGAAGACGATGCCAATGGGAAATATTGCGCTGGAACAGAGTGTGATGAAGTTGATTGTGGCGATGGATCTAACGCTGGCTGCTTCAATGGCGAGTGCACGTGTCTCTATAATTGTGTTGGGAACTCGTGTGTCGTCTGTGCTGCCAACGAATCTGCGCTTGAAGATGCTTCCAACGGAGCGACAATGCTTTGTGACGCGTGCGATGCTCAGGCCCACAATGATTTTTCATCTGCTCAAGCATTCTCGATTGTCACAGTAGGAACTGCGGCGTTTGCTACACTTGCCTTCGTTTTCACCTTTTTCTTTTAACCCAGTCATTTGATAAAGATTCATACTACTACGTTAATTTCTGAAAGTTGCATGAAAAATATATTGTGTTCGCATAATATTTGATGTTCAAATAAACCAGCGTTGACATGAATTTCCGCCTTTTTAGTACTCTAGTCAAAGAATTCTGAGTTTCGTCGCAGCGAATTACCAAATTGTAATTGGTCTACTGTAGACATCGTCTGGCACGTGTATTAACAATAAGTGCAAATGCGATGATTTCATGGAACTGGGTATAACTTTAGCAGTCTTGTTCTGTCTGCCATTGTAGCCCAAAGTCAAGGGGTAAGGATACGAATCTCTTACAGCATCCAAATCTAATGACTTGAATACTAGGCCGTCTTCGACTTAGGTGGGAATACACATTTTTCACGTAGCGAAACTACTAGAAATTCATATCAGTCTCCTGTTTAGTTGAACGTGTTTAGTAGAACATAAGCATCTGCTAGTAGGATCATTGATTCTGCTGGCGACACCAAGACATTACCGGCCATTTGCAACCGAGGTTGTATTGTTGGTGACCGGCGATCATTGATTGGCTGATGTCATGGTGTCAGCAAGAATCATTGCTGGAACCGTGCAGCTGGGCTCAGAGTCCTCTACTACTTTCGTAGCCTGCTCGGTAGCAGATGCTGGCTCGCTGCGCAACCCTAGGCAATACAAAAAACAAGACGATTGCATTCAAGGCAGTGTGAGAGTCTGAGGGAGCGGGTTTACAAAAATCAGGTCATCGCAGACGCCACTTGGCTGGAGATCCATTTCTAGCAAACGCCGACCATGACGAACCACTACAAGCCCGAGCTCGTGAAATTCATGCCCTATAAGGACAACGTCTCCTATAGGAAGGACCGCACGTTCACAGTGGACGAGCTCCTACGTATAACTCCAGAGGACCTGTGTCGTTGGATGAACGAGCAGACGTACGGAGATCCAGAGCCAAGTGATGATATGAGGACCATGCATCGCCGCTCGACAATCCTTGAGTTCACGAAGAAGGCTACTTCGTCGTTCATGCCACGCATAAATTTGACATGGGGTCCAGTAACGGAGCGTGGAAACCCTACCCGGTCTGACGTCGTGAATAAGTTGATCAAGGGGGTTAAGAACTTCAAGGTTCGACGAGAAGGATCTGAGTTCAAAGCCCGCTGGCCTGTGGAGTTGACGAATTCATGAATTTACTCCTTCTTGTGCGAGCTCATTGGGGGCGTATTGATAAAGCGTACTTGGTGGGAAGTGGGCTCAGTTTTCAATGGCATATTTGCGCTAGGATTGATGACATGATGAAGTTCCAGTTTTCCAACTTCTCGTCTAGCACCCAGTACCCTTCAACACTCCTCTTCCAAATGCGGTGGTCGAAAACCAAACGAGAGGAGCGGGATTCCCCAGAGCAGCTCATTCTTGGCAGCATGAACCCCAAGATGTGTGCGTTGCTTAACCTCGCCGTGTACATTGAGGCAACATCGAATATGGCAAGTTCTGAGTATTTGTACGGCAATCCCAAAGACGGAGACCGTAATGTACGACGATTTTTAAAAGATATGGTTGGTAATGAAGCCTTCAAGAAGCCTAAATTGTGAAATTTAGGAACGCACAGCCTCCGTAAGGGTGCAGCGATGTATGCAACGAGGTGTGGCATCTCGAAAGTTTTTGTGAATTTGTGGGCCGTTGGAGAACTCGCAAAGGTGAGATTGATATTTACGTCGACAATACGCAGCCATACCCAGATGCATTAACAGCAGCAGCATTAACAGGACCTGCAGGACCGTGCTTTTACGTATTTATGCCTGGGATTAGTTGCATCACGCCTGATTTACTCTGTAACGAGATTGTATCGACAGTAAAACAACTCATGGGCGACTCAATTGCGGAATGTTGGGATTAACCCTGCCCTGGACAGCAATTGAAACCAGCAGATGCATACGAATACGCACTACTGCCAAGCAAACTTAAACAGCAACTTGTAAGCATTTACAAAAACGTTTGGGGGGGGGGGAGCGTATCTGAATCCTGTGCAGCGCGACGAATTTTTTGTTGCTGGTAACGGCTCTCAATTATCGCTCATTACTATTGACAATGATGAGGGCACTGACCAAGCCCATAAAACAAGCTCTCAGAGACCACATCACGTAAACTCTATAAGAAGTGAAAGAACACGCCGCGATTTCCCGCCCTCCACTCGCAAATCGCTGCTGGACGACGCCAAACAGCAGAAGTGATGAATGAAATTCATCGGCTACGACATGAACTTCAACGTGAGCAGCAAAAGACACAGGCAATACTAAGACGACTGGTAATTCAGGGAACTTTTACCAAAGTAGCTGTGCCAATTTCTCTCCAGCACAGCCAAATAGTGACATATACCACCCAGCGTTTACCAGGAGTGAAGCTCTCTAAGCGACACAAGGATTTGTACGAGTTATGGTGTGGTGGAGTGGGGTTCGCAAAATCACGTTGCGATCCACTCGGACACACAGTGCCCTGGACTGCCGACTGACGGAGGGGGTACTCCGATAACT